AATACGGGCTCTTGGTGGGGGGTGAGGGGGATATGGGTGCAGGGTCTGGGCATGAGGGGGAATGCTTACCTGGCTTGGCACCCTGCTGCAGCCCCCCCCTCCCCAGGCCAGCTCAGCCCAGCCTAGCCCATGCAGCGGGGAACCCAGCATAGCTGCAGCACCAGGCCATGCTTCCTGCTGGCAGGGCTGAGCGGGGGGTGGAGGGGGTGTAGAAACCCTGACCTTTCCCGCCTGATCAAACTGACACTTCCCCAGCAGGCTGGGAAGGGGTGCAGGGGAGAGAGAGAGAGAAGCAGCACATGGGGGGCAGCAAAGCCCAAGCGCACCTCAAGGGGGGGGGGCAGAAGAGCCTGAGCCAGCTTCCACACAGTCAGTAGATAAAAAACACGCCGAGGTCCAAGAGCAGCTCCTCGGCTCTGGCCACTCCTCCAGCTCCACCTCCCAGCAGCAGCAGCCGCTGCCACTGTAAACACTACCACCTGCACACTAGGAGGAAGCGGCTGCAAGGCACTGGGACAGGGCAGTCCTGCAGGGTGAGGAGGGGCTGCGCTGTGCGCTGGGGTGGGGCAGTGGGTGGTGGAGCGGCCCTCAGAAGCCTGTTCTCACCGGCAAAGTCCCAATGGGAGCTGCCTACGGGTTTTGCTGGGGGTGAGGGAGCAAAAAAAAAATTTCAGAACCTCAGGGTTCCGCAGAGCGCCATTTGGGAAACACTGATCTAAGCTGTTAGGCTTTTCTAGTTTAATAAAACTTGCTTCTTGGTTGCCAGCATGTCTGCTAGATGTATCTTAAGCTGGCATGATAATAAGGAGGGTATAAGACTCTAGAATTTTTCCTTACCAAAGGTGAATTATTTTAATTCTATTGTCCCAGCAATTTTTTTTCCAAAACAGAAAAGGTGTGGTATAATCACCAAAGGTTTGCTTCAGGTACACCGAATCATTGAGAAGGTCAGGCTTCTTGTTTGTGTTCTTTCATGTGGAGTTCCAATGTCTTCAGGCATCTAAACTCTTCCTCGCCAAATGGATTAACTTATGCATTGTGGGGAGCAGGGATTTGGAGCAATCACATTTTTGAATTGCTCCCCTCCGGCACCAATAGTGATTGCTCCAGCTCCGCTCCAACTCCGCTCCACGCTCCGACTCAAATTAATTTTAACTAAATAAAAAACGCTCCAACTCAAATTAATTTTAACTAAATAAAAAAGTGCATACTGTAATTTTCAGAACATTTTTATTCAGTTTTAAAACAATTTAAATGTAATCAATGATATAAACTAGACTCATTCATAATTTAATCTGTAAAAAATTATTGCAGCAATCAAGTCATCTTTCATAGCCTGCCACAGATCATGTAAAATTAACTTTAAAGGTGAAAACAGTCACTCTACACTAGCTTGAGTTGTTGGCATGCTCAAAGCAATTCTACAGGCAGCCTGAATGCGGTGTGGGTAGCTGTGAATGGCCTCAAAAACAGAATTAAGTTTTAGCCTACCAATAGACTCCATCGCCTCAACCTTCCTGAAAGTTTCTCTCAAATAATGCTTCATTACAATTATGAATCACAGAAACTCGCCAGCGTCTTTCTTGTTTATCCAATTCCTTTTCGAAATCGTCATCTTCTGAAGAATTGGTGCTTGAATTATCTCCATTTCCCTGTGATGGTTGAAGATGTCTCAGGGATTGGATGCTCGAACAAGTTCAGAGTGGAGGCCGAAGTTTGAGAACAGCCTGTTATTTCTGAAGGATGTGAACTTTCCGAAACCGCAAATTCGATTGTTAATGACTCCTTTTGTTGTGTTTTGTTTTCTTCAACTTCTTTTGCCGAGTTCAAATGTAGCAATAGATTTTGTTTTTCGAGTCGTTGAGCAATATCAAGAAGCCCTTCCTTGCCTTGGTATTTCCCTTGAGATAAGAAGAATCTGACCTAAACTCCAGCAAGGGTCAACATAAACTCCAGCAAGGAAATGAATATTGTCAAAAAGCTTCTCTTCTCGTTTCTGCATGGAGGATAGAATTCCTTCTGCAATTTGTCCACCATTTCCTTGCAAGAATTTTGACAGTTTTCGCCATTCCTTCATCAAAAATCCCGGGGTTACATCGACAGCTTGAAGATTCACGGTTGTTTGGTTTGGCTTTTCCAGGAGGTCTCACAGGTTCTTCACTTTGTCCCATTCAGCTTTTGTTAACTTGAGTTCTCTTGTTCCAGCAGCAGCCACTTGTTCAAAGTAAGATTGAAAAACAAGAAGCCGATCAGTCATCGCAAATGTTGAACCCCAGCGAGTCACAGTATCCAATGATTGTGTTACCCCATGTAGATCAAGCACAACACTTTGAATACTTGGGGTTCGTCGTTTGACAACAACTTGTCGAATTTTTGCCAGAAATTTCTTCGCATGTTCTTTGTTCAGTCCATCCCAGATTGCTAACAGAAGTGTGAATACCACACCTCATCAGTTGGACTTTTGAGTCGTCCTCATGAAGCCCTGTTGGAAGAATGAGGCTAGGGTCATTAACCCATTGTGCAGCAGCATCCATATTGAGTTTGATTTCATCCATTCCTTTAGCAAAATGCAGGACAATGTAGCACTTTAAAGTGCTACATTGTCCTGCATTTTGCTAAAGGAATGGATGAAATCAAACTCAATATGGATGCTGCTGCACAATGGGTTAATGACCCTAACCTCATGCTTACAACACAACTTCATGAGGACGACTCAGAAGTCCAACTGATGAGCTGCCGCAGACATTTTTGTCAGCACACGTCATGTTTGCTGCATTGTCAGTGCAGATGCTCAGCACTTGCATTTCACTGATCCCAAATTTTTCTAAAATAGCTTTTACTTGACTTTTCACATAGAAAGAATTGTGACACCCTTCAGTGTCGATTATGTCCAAGGTTTTTACCACAGCTTTATCTTTTCCTTCTTCGTAGTACTGAGCATTGATTGCAAGGAAATTT